TCATCAGGGCCCAACCACATAGCCAGCAATGAATGGAAACAGGGCTCTGGCTCAAATCTACGGGTCTCAGGTGTGGCCGGGCTCAGCATTCCTGCTTGGCACTTGGTTACAATACATTCACTATAAAGCTGAGCCTGATACCAACAGCGAGTTTTTCTTCTTCTTCCTTGGTTTTCTGTATATCGATAGCCAACTCTTGAAACAAAGTTAGAAACTCCTGAGAGTATTCATGATGAAGCTCCTGCCTGTAAAACATAATAGAGTGTCATGACTTTATATGGCTAAGAAAAATGTCAACCCATTCAAAACCAAATTGACTGGACATAAATTATACTATAAAGCGAGAAGGGAATGATCACAGCTGGAATTTTCTGATGGAAAACAGCCAACTACAGGGGATGGCTTACCCTCATTGCTAACCGTGTATTTACTCTCACTCCTGACGGTCTAAGAGGGATGCTTGTCTTGTATGCCTTGGCTCTTGAAAGCAAAGGAAGATTTATGGCACTTAAATTTCCCAGAAAATGCATTTGGTCTACATGGAGTTTTGTTTCTATCGTTTCATTTCCATTCATTTGCTGAACAACCTATAGGTTGCGAAGTGACGAACAGATTCAATGAGGATATCCTATCCACCGATACCACTTCCCCACACAGTAACCTTTCACTTTTCCCCCACTGTGGCACAATAAAGATTTTGTATGAAAGAATAGCAAACCCAAGAGGGATCAATGTAAAAAAAATCATTAAAATATAAGATGAACCTTTTCTACATACTTGAATACAGTTAACTATCACAAGACATTGGCCTCTTACTCAGCTCCATGCTCCAAGAAAGAATACAAGTGCTTCTTATGCCAAGAAAGCTCAATTATAATTTGAAAGGAGAAAAAGGGGGTTATCTTTATGGACCTCTAGATAATACACCTCTTTCCAATTAAGGCTTTGCAACACGGAGCTAAAGGAACTATTTGCTTAGATAAAAAACGGAACCAAAAAAAAAAAAAACCAAACAAAAAAACAAACAGAAATGGAGCCAAACATATTTCTCCAGTAGAGACTCCAACAGATGGAGGAAAGCAGTATTGTTTTGAATTAATCTGTGATCACACAAATACTAAGAAATGACACACAGCGCCTGGCTCCAACACTGATACGTTTGCTCTTCCTGAGTTTTCCAGACACGCTCAATTTTCTGGTTAATGCTTTCGACAGAAGCTTTGGTTTCCATCATGACTCTTTTTCTATTTTCATCAAAGAGCTCTTTAATCTCACCTATGAGAAGCATAAATATAAGCATATATAAATTTCTTTTTATGGTGTTCAATTTACCAACATATAGAATAACACCCAGTGCTCATCCCATCAAGTGCCCCCCCTCAGTGCCCGTCACCCAGTCACCCCCACCCCCAGCCCACCTCCCCTTCTACCCCCCCCAGTTCGTTTCCCAGAGTTACGAGTCTCTCATGTTCTGTCTCCCTTTGTGACATTTCCCACTCATTTTTTCTCCTTTCCCCTGTATTCCCTTTCACTATTTTTTATATTCCCCAAATGAATGAGACCATATAATGTTTGTCCTTCTCCGATTGACTTATTTCACTCAGCATAATACCCTCCAGTTCTATCCACGTCGAAGCAAATGGTGGGTATTTGTCGTTTCTAATGGTGCCCATCGAAAGATGAATGGATAAAGAAGATGTGGTTTATGTATACAATGGAATATTACTCAGCATATATATTTATTAACATTTAACACTGAAAATTAGGGATCCCTGGGTGGCGCAGCAGTTTAGCGCCTGCCTTTGGCCCAGGGCGCGATCCTGGAGACCCGGGATCGAATCCCACGTCGGGCTCCCGGTGCATGGAGCCTGCTTCTCCCTCTGCCTGTGTCTCTGCCTCCCTCTCTCTGTGTGACTATCATAAATAAATAAAAATTAAAAAAAAAGATGGAGTTAAAAAAAACACTGAAAATTATTTTTTGGCAGCTTATTCAAAAACAACATAGGCAGTTTTGGTTCCGGAGCATTGGAAAGACAATTAGCATTTTGATAAAAGGCCTCACATCAGAAAGCAAGGTGATTTGCTTCTTTTTTTGTGTGAAACCTTTCAGTTACTAGTTTCTGAATCCTGATTTTTCTTTGTTGCCTGCACACAGCCCCCCCCTTTTTCAAACTTACACTGAAAGAAGGGCTAATAAAGAAAAGTGACTATCTCCCAAAATGTGTAAAACAAAAAGGGGGTCTCAATGACTGTCTTTGATTTTCTTGTGAAAAAACAGTGGTAGGGGCTAGTCTCTAAACACTTTATGAAATATCCTCCAAACGAAAGGACTCATTGAGATGGATTATTGTTAGAAGTAGATGTATAAAACACACCTTACCATTCTATTTTAAAAGCGTCCGAAAGGGAGGCACATAAATGAAAGGAGACGAAAGGGTTGTGCGTGCGTGCATGTGTGTTTTAATGTAGTCAACGAGGATTTTCAGTATACGTGAGTTAAAGAGAAAAGACTGTGGAGAGATTAAGGAAATAAAAGAACATATTCAAAATCACGTCCTAAAGATGTTTTTGAGTAAATAAATGGAGCTTTTCTTACACCATTTTTGAAAAGCAGCCTCGCAATATGTAAAATTTTTCACAGTTGGGAAACTGCTTTTGATTTTAAGTGACGGACCTGCCATCAGTAGCTATGTTCTGGGGATCATGGAAAGACGCACCGTTTTACACCTATTTTATACTCCCAGTTTGCCAGCATACTCACCAGTTCACGAGGCAGCTCACAGGCCGAGAACCCTGACAGCCACCCAATAGAGCAAAGCTTTCAAATACACACCTGCTTGTACAACTGATCCCCATAGAGGACTCAAATATTGACTCGCACTCCTTGCTAAGAGTCTTATCCTGTAACCCCGTTAATGGATAAGGGACATCTGACAGAACAACCAAAAACTTTTAGGTTTATTGGTGCTGATCAGACTTTGCCAGCATGCTAGCACAGGGGTCTTTAGGTTTCCACTGCATGGTTTATTAGCGTAAACATCACGACAAAGCCTGAGTTGGCAGGCTTCAATTCAAACGTCTGCACCAAAGAATGGAAATAGAAAAGTCGAGGAAAGAAAGTACAATGAGAAAATTAAAAATGGTTTATTAAAACCTGATGTATCATTTACCCCGGGACACGAAGTAGGAGAGAGATTATTTCACGCACATTCTTCCGATATCCCCCACAGGCCATCAAATGTACCCACGTACAAAGCAAAAGCATCACTCTTACCTCACCACTGACAGCCCCGTTCTCGGCACGTGCACTATCAGAAGGGAAACTAAGGACATGCATGAAGCCCAATCACCCTAAGGACTTAAGGAACACCCTGTGTCTGGGAGCAAGGCATTAGATGACAGTGTCGCCATCCATTGATAAACATTTCTTGTTAACATGGGTTATATGGCTCAAAACAATGCACTTTCACCGAAACGGCTCCTGAATCATACCTTCAAATCTTTCCATCATGTCCTGTAATTCATTCCTGTAAAGAAATGGCACGAGGTGTTTAATTCAGGGGATCTGAAACCAGCGCGCTTGTTTTGGATGAAATAGCTTTCAGTCCAGGTGTTTACATGCAATACCTGTTACCTGAACCAACCCTTTATTTGTGTTAGTACCTTACGGGTTGGTCAGGTCAAAATTGCTGTTTTTAAATATTTTATTTATTCATTCACGAGAGAGACAGAGAGAGAGGGAGGGAGGAGGGCACAGAGACATAGGCAGAGGGAGAAGCAGGTTCCATGCAGGGAGCCTGGCATGGGATTCGATCCAGGGTCTCCAGGATCACGGCCTGGACTGAAGGCAGCCCGAAAACACTGAGCCACCCAGGCTGTCCCAAAATTACTTTAAGCACGTTACCACACATCCTCCAGAAAGGTTCCTGCAGGACGACTTCCTTCCCCGTCGTGCTCAGTGACCGGATTGTTTCCTGTGTTGAAATAAAAGTGGAAAACATTCTTAAGGGAAGGGTGGCCTTTCGATCAGTTTTCGAGGGGGCAATATCGTCACCGCGCGGGCTGCGAGGCCTCTGGCAAACCAACAGCCTTTCAAGGCAGAGCTAGGAAAGGCTGCGTGTCTGTGCAAGGGCGGAGGAAAGGAGATCGGGGCCCAGGACCACGCGGCGGCGAAGGCGTTCCCGGCCTTTGGCGCGCTTAAACGCCAGAGAGCAGCACCCGGCACGTGGGAGGTATCTGGGAAAGAAGGCCTGCAGGGCGCGGGGTGGGGTCGGGGCGGGGGTCGGGGGGGTCGGGGGGGGGGGCGGCGCGGCAGAAGAGCTGCGTGCGATCTCCGCGTCCGGAATCCTGGTTTGGGACGGGAGGATCCAGTGGGCAACCTGCGGCAGGTGAAACTGCGCTGGCGCGCACACACACACACGTGCGGGGGCGCGCACGCTGGAGGACTGTACTGTTGACCACGCGGAGGACTCGGAGGCAGAGACCTGCCCCGCGTGCGGTCATCTCCGAGCGAGCGCTGTGTCCGCAAAGGTGTGGGGCAGACGGTACCTTCCGCAGCAGCAGCCTCTGGCCCACTGAGCTCTCTGCTCCCTCCTCCGCCCGAATCACAGGCTGCCGTTCTCTGAGGCTCCGCAGGGGCTTTCCTCCCCAGGCGCTTCCTGCCGGCCAGAGGCATCCGCAGAGGTGTCTGTCCTCCGAGGTGTCTGTGTGTCCTCCGAGTTGTCCCGCACCTTGTGAGCCCGAGCACGCGACCGAGAAACGGGGACACGGTCAGCGAGCGTCGGCAGGCAGGGGGCCTCTGCACAGACCAGGCTGCGCGTGTCCTCGTGTGTCTGGCCGGGCCAGGAGGGAGCAAGGAGGATGCGGCCGGCGCAGCCCTGCCCCCCCCCCCGCCCCCCCCCCCCCCCCGCCCGGGACGGCGACCCGGGGCACGACAGCTGCCCCGGGCCATCTGCGTGCCGGGCACCTTCCGCCACACTCTTGCGCCTACGTTGGGACAGAGGCCGGCCCGGCCCCCGAGGTCCCTCCCCGCAGGGCTGTGCCGGCCTGGGGACCCGACCGTGGCCGGGCCGAAACCCCGCGTCCCCTCGGGATGCACGGGGAATAAGCCGTTCTGCACCCGTCGGCGGACAGTCAGGTGGACCCCTCCATCTGGCCCCCCAGGACGAGCCGTGGCCCCGCCCCCGGGGGCCAAGATGTCGGGCCGGGCGGTGTGGCCGGAGGGCCAGGCGCAGACGGCCCCTCCTCACCAGGTGTCACCCTCCCGGGCCATGAGGGCCGTCGCTCCCGCTCCCCGCTCCCCGCTCCGCTCCCCGCCCTGCCAGCTCTGCGCTCAGGGGCCTGGTCGTATCCCGTCGGAGCCCCCGGAGGACCCCGTGAGGACGTCACCTCAGAGGTCAGCCCCGCCGCCCCCGTGGCCGCCCCACGCCCTGGTCCCGGACGTTCCAGGATACCTCCCCCCCCCCCACGGCCACCCAGTGCCACCGGGTCCGCCTGCCTGCCTGGCTGGGCCTCCCAGGGGGTCGCTATGCCCGACCCCCGGCCCGGCCCCCGTTTGTCTTGACCCTTCCTCTGTCCCGCAGTGCCTATGCCCCAGCGCTAGCCCCAACCCCTCTGTCTTGCCCCTCGGTCCTGAGACCCTCCGTCCCTATGGCCCACCGCCGCCCCGCCCCACCCCCTGTCTCTGTCGGTCCTCCCTGCGTCCCTGCGTCCCTCCGCCCCACCCCACCCCCACCGCCACTGTCTTGTCCCTCCCTCCGCCCCATCCATCGCCATCGCCGACGCCATCGCCATCGCCATCGCCATCGCCATCCCCATCCCCCGCCTCTCTCAGGCCTCCGCGCGCACACAACGACCTCCACGGCAGGTCCTCCGCGACGACGCTCCTCTGAGGGCCTCGCGACTGACTGGGAGGAGCCAGTCAGCCTCGCCTGCCCTGCGCGGGAGCGTCGCTGAGCGGCTGGCCCAGTGCGCATGCGCATGCGCATGCGCACGCGGGGAGGCGGGACCTCGCCAGAGACACGCCCCTCGGGCCCCCTGCCCTCCAGGCGCCGGTGCCTGCCGGCCCTGAGGATCGAGGATCGAGGGTCGAGGGTCGAGGGTCGAGGGTCGAGGGTCGAGATTCGAGGGTCGAGGGTCGAGGGTCGAGGGTGGAGGGTGGAGGGAGGTCGAGGTACGGGGCTCACGTGGCGAGGGCCGAGGGTCTTGGGTCAGGACCCAGGGTGGAGCGTGGAGGGCCGCGAGCCGACGACGGTCGAGTGCTGAGGGCCGAGGGCTGAGCCCCGGGGCCCAGGCTGCGCGTTTCCGGTTCTGCAGCCCCAGGACGTTTCATCTTCCTGGGAAATCACTAAAGGGCACTGGGTTGTGGAGCAGGTGGCCGCTCAAGCCTCCACCTTGCTGACCTGAGGCGGAAGGCTTTTCGCAGGTCCTCGTCGGGCTCCTGGCGGGGCCCTTTCCACCCAGTGCCTCCGCCTCCCGGAGGAAGAGCCGTCTCCCCGAGGGCCCTGTGCAAACGACCCCCTCCGTCGTCTCGGCTCCGCTCTTGGTTGGGTTGGCGGTTGGTTGGTTGCCTTTGGTGCTGTTTCACAGACCCCTGCGCGTGTCCTTCACTGTGCTGGCCTCCCGCTGGGTTGCCTGGGTAGGGGGACTGAAGTCCTGTCAGCGTCCTGCCTGACGTGGGTGGTTGCGCCACGTCCTTTTCCACCCAGCTTTGTGTCCTAACAGGGTCTGCGCTATTCCGTGGAGCCCCAGGAGTAGGCCTGGAAGCGGTCCCCTTCCCCCTGGGAGCACACGCCCCCGGGGAACCGCTCCGTGGAAGCGATCCCCTTCCCCCTGGGAGCACACGCCCCCGGGGAACCGCTCCTCAATGCCTTCGCCCCACTGCTTCTCCGTCCACATGCCCTTATTTCCACTGCAGCGCCCTGGAGGGCAGCGATGCTACGAAGAATCTCACGTCTGCCGAACGTGCGATCACGCTCTGTGGTGTTTAAATGAGCCCGAGAGAAATACATAGAAATAAATGAGCCCAAGGCTTCAGAGGACTTGATGACCTGCTCACAGTCCTACCAGCAGTGCACAGGGGTTCCCCTTTCTCCACATCATGCCAACTCCTGTTATTCCCAGTTGTTTGCTTTTGGCTTTCGTTTTGTTGTTGCCTTGCGTTTCTCTGTTTGAAAACAGGCATCCTGGGATCCCTGGGTGGCGCAGCGGTTTGGCGCCTGCCTTTGGCCCAGGGCGCGATCCCGGAGACCCGGGATCGAGTCCCGCGTCGGGCTCCCGGTGCATGGAGCCTGCTTCTCCCTCTGCCTGTGTCTCTGCCTCTCTCTCTCTCTCTCTCTCTGTGATGACTATCATAAATAAATAATAATAATAATAATAAATTTTTAAAAAAAGAAAACAGGCATCCTACAGAGTGTGAAGTGCTTGCTGCTTGCGGTTCTGACTTTTCATTCCACTGGTGATTAGTCACGTAGACCATCTTTTCAAGTGCCTACGGGGACGGGGCCACGGGTACCCTTTCTCTGCACATATGTCCATTGAGGTGCTTTGCCAATTTTTAATGAGGTATTTTTCTTTTTGGGGTGCATGGTGGTTTTCTTTCTTTTCTTTCTTTTCTTTTCTTTTCTTTTCTTTTCTTTTCTTTTCTTTTCTTTCTTTCTTTCTTTTCTTTCTTTCTTTTTCTTTCTCTTTCTTTCTCTTTCTTTCTTTTTTTTTTCTCTGCACCGCGGGTGAGTTGTAGGGCCTCTTTACCGGTTCTGGATTTTAATCTCTTACCCGATCGATTGGTCATTTGCAACGATCTTTATCCATTCCTCGGGTCACCTGGATGGCCTGTTGATAATGTCCTTTCATGCGCAAAGCGTCTAAACTGTGACGTTTCCAATTTACCCAGGTGCTTCCAGGCCTCCTCCTGGGCCTTTTAGGACGAAGCCGCCTGTACTCCAAGGTCATAAATGTTTCCTCAAAATTGACTCAAGGGCTTACTTTGTATCTTTTAGTCTTTGCTCACGTGAAATTGGTTTTTGTGCTTGCTGTCCGGTCGTGGTCTAATTGCTTCTGTCCCCCCATGGGAAAAAAATAATCACCGTACCGTCCCCATTTTTCTGAAGGGTGCACGCTTTCGCCACTATCAGCTGTGCCCGGTCACATGTCAGGGTCCGCTATGTCCCCGATTCTGGTTCTCTGTCCCGTCCCACCGCTCATTTCGTTTATCCTGTGCCAAAAGCCACAGCCTGTGGTAGAATGAAGATTCCTAAGTCGGGGCCGCCGGGGCAGCTCAGCGGTTTAGCGCCCCCCTCAGCCCCGGGCGTCACCCTAGAGACCCGGGATGGAGTCCCACGCAGGGCTCCCTGCCTGGAGCCTGCTTCTCCAACTCCGCCTGTGTCTCTGCCTCGCTTTCTCTCTGCGTCTCCCAGGAAGAAATTAATAAATAGAAATCTTTAAAGAGTAAAAACAAAGATTCTAAGTCAGGCCTAACTCTGAGTCCTCCGGTATTAAGCTTACGCTCTGATGACTCAGATCCTTCCGTGATTCCCGACAGCCTCCACACGAGGGTCGACCCTACATACGAAGACCCTTAGCACCTCTCTCCTTTGACTCCCCCTTTATCCTCCCCATCCTGAGCTCCTTGCCACTCCCCGAAGCACACCGTGGCTGTTGCCTGCCACCGGGCCCTTGAACGAGCTCAACCAACTTCTCTGCCGAGAGACCCTTGGTTGACACTCCTTCCTTTGCCTGTCGCTGGGACTTGAGCCGCCTCGCTCCTCTCACTGCACTGTAATCCAGTCCTCCGTGTGCTAACGGGACCGTATTCCCGTGCCTCACTTTGACCATGCGGGAAGCCTCTATCATTCTACCAAGCAGGTTTGGAACTCACAATTCGTATTGGTCACTGTTTGCCCACGAATACAGACAACATTTCAGCGAGCTATGCTGTCCTAGGGATACATACCCGTCACTCATTGGATGATCTTAATAACCCTCTGGAAGGGGAATCGGTTCAAGGCCCGTTTATAAGTTAAGAGGACCATGGTCAGAGACTACAGATGCTAACCCAAGTTTGCAGAGCCGCACAGTGGAGCAGGGGCCAGACCTTTGGCATTGTTTTTTTTTTTTTTAAATAATAAATTTATTTTTCATCGGTGTTCAATTTGCCAACATACAGAATAGCACCCAGTGCTCATCCCGTCAAGTGCCCCCCTCAGTGCCCGTCGTCACCCATTCACCCCCACCCCCGCCCTCCTCCCCTTCCACCACCCCTTTGCCCACCCCTGGCCCTCGCCTCTTCACTGTTTTGTGTCCCTTTGCTGCTCTGGGGCTACAGCACATCTTCAGCTACAAGCCATCGTCCCTAGTAGTGCCTGCCTGTCCCGGTACTGCAGAAAATGGTTTGAAGGCTGTCACTGTGGAGGTGGAAGTCCTTTACAAAGTTCTTGTTTTCCACGTAAATTTCAAAACATGTCAATCAAGAAAGGTGCTGTCTTTGGCATTTTGGAGTGCACCTAAGCGTTATGAAACGACAAACCCATTGAAGAGTTCACGCAGACCAGACCAGATGACGGGAAGAAGGCTCTGTCCTCGGTAGAGCAAAGGCCAGTAGCTCAACAACGACTTTCGGGTTCCAAATTGTCAGGGACATTCTGATTCCCTGTGGCTGGCACCGGGACAGGAATCGCGATTTGTCAGAAGCTCCCACTGGGGATTTGGATGGTCAATACAGACACATGTAAGTGCTGTGGCAGGTCCTGGACCTCCCCCGAGAACTCCTTCCCTCACCCTTTCATCCTTACTAACAGAACCCTGACCCCATTGCACAGAGAGGTGAGCGCGTGGCCCAGTCCAGCCCCTGGGCTGGCCGTGATTCGTGTCCCAGATGACGCCAGTGGCATTCCTAGGAAAGCTCCTGGAACTGGAAAGACGCAGCTGGCATTCCCCTTTGATCTTTCCCACTTGCTCCTGCCAGTGATACAGACGCAGTGCCCGTGGCCCTAGAGACAAAAGCCACATCTAAGGAGGGAGGTTGCGAGAAGAGAGGAGACCCTGGCTCCCCGAGCTGTAGTACCAGCCGCCGCCGCCGCCGCCGCCGCCGTGGATTATGTATTCCTGCCGGGTGTTGCCTGGAATAAACAAAGCCCCTGTTTGAGCCACTATTCAGCATGCAGGAAGATGCAACTCACGGTGACAGAGCAGCGCATACCTGAAGTTCATTTTTACCCAGCTTGTGTCAGGGGTGGTAGACTATTACCCTAACACCTAAACCCAAACGTGTACAGGGACTCAACTGGTTTATCTCAACTCGTTTATCTATTACTCTGGGCACATTACTAGGAAAGTGACTGGGTCCTCCTGGCAGGCACTATCCATGCACTTCCACAGGGACCCCGGCTGTCAGAAAGTCTGCCACATCCAACATGGGGCTTCCACGGGAGCCCCGGAGGTGGCCCCCTTGGCGGTTTGCTAGAAGGGGCAAAGAGCACAGAGGCGCACCAGGCACCAGGTGTTTACAAGTTAGGCCTGGCAGTGGCACGCATCATTCCCGCTTGCTTCCCATTGCCTAGATCTCAGGCACACGGTCACACGTAACAGCAAGGAAAGCCAGGGAATGATGCTTAGATGGGGCCCAGGAAGAAGGCGAGAGCAAGGATTTAGGTGGCGACCGGGAGGTCCCTGCAACCTGTGCCCTTCTGAAAGTAATGCAAAACTTGACTACGTTGGGTTTTCTTAAAGAGAAGCTCACAGAAATGTTCAAAGCATGAACTGACAGTCCGGCATGCCACTAAACGGGGCTGTCCCGCTCGGGGACTGTGAGACACGGAGCTGACTTCTTGACTTCTCTCTCGAAGCCTTGATCACTTTCGTACTACCTTAAAGGTATACCGACAGTATTTGTCTCGTGATACTTTGGATGCCGCTAAGTGAAATAATGCATAAAAGCTCGTACGGGCCCTCGGTAATATCCGGGAACCAGTCAAATATTAGTAACAGTATAGCAACATTAAGCTTTCTGATTCATTCTATCGTAATGGTGACCGTTGTCTCGCGTTTATTGTATTGCCGTTATTGCGGCCACTTTGTGAGCCACTGGGACACAATTTCCTGAATATCAAACATTGAATGCAAGCCGGTGCCTGCTACATATTTCAAAGCATAAAAACTAACATTTTCATCATCAGG